ACACACACACACACACACACACACACACACACACACACACACACACACAGGTTCTCTCTTACTTTCTGGATTCATGAAATGTTTGTCTTTAGTGTCATTCTCTTTTGCTTTTTTGTAAGCTTCTGTTTTTTTGTTTTTAATTTATTCACTTTACATCCCAATTGTAGACCCCCTCCCTACTCTTCTCCAGGTCCCACTCTTTTTTCCTCTTCCCAGTATTCCTCTCTTTCCACCCCTTAGAAAAGGGGAGCATCCTCCACCCCTACCACCCCACCCACTCATGCCAGCACATCAAGTCCTATCAGTACTGAGTGCATCCTCCCACAGTGATCTGGCTGAGCAGCCCTGCCAGGTGGAAGTGATTGAAAGCCATGTAAAGAGTTCTTGTCAGAGTCAGCCCCCCATTCCCCGTGTAAGGGGACCCACGTGAAGACCAGGCTGTCCATCATGGACATGTGTGTTGGGGCCTCAGTCCAGTCCATACGTGGTTCTTGGTTGGTGTTTTATTCTCCACAAAGCCACCCGGGGCCCGGTTTAGTTGGCTGATGTGGAGATCCTGTTCTTCAGGGTCCTTCTATTCTTCCTTTCACTTCCACTCTTGCACAAGGCTCTCTGTGCTCTACCCAGTGTTTGGTTGTGAGTCTCAGTATCTATTTTGATTGGTTTCTGAGTGGAACCTCTTAAAATATAGCTATGCTAGTGCTAGATAAAAGGGAACAGAAGACAGGTGAGGGAATGCTGAGGGAAATGAGGGTGGGGATCTGATGTGGGGAGAGGGAGGAGGAGGACAGAGGGCATTCAGAGAGGAGACAAACTGTGGCCTGGAGCATCTCTGAGACTGGTTGGAGACCTATGACAGGGCAGGATTTTGGGAGGTTTTGGAGATGACTCTAGCTGAGACCCCTAAAAGCAAGGGACATGGAGACTGGATGCCATCCAGTAACCAGACAGGACTCCCAAGCAAAGGGAGTGGAACATCAACCCACCTACAAAAACTTGAACCCAAAATTTAACTTGCCCATGATATGTGCTGCAATAAAGATAGAGCAGAGATTAAGGGAATGTGCAACCAGTGCCTGGCCACACTACGGGAGAGAGCCAACCCCTAACGCTATTAACTCCACTCTGCCTTGCCAGTTTTTTGTTTTTTTTTTTTTAAGTTTATCATTTATTTTTTGTTCTAATTTTTTTGGATTAGAAGTAAATGAGAGTCACTTGCCCACTTTCATCTCTATATTGGAGAATACTAAATTTTTGTTAAATAATTTTTGTTAAGCTTAGAAAATTTTTCTGTACCATCATACTCTATTTTCTACCCATATATATATATATAGCATATACTTAATGGTGTTGATTATGGTGTGAGCTTTGTCTTCTCAGGGTAGGTCATTCATGCTGCTTATAAAAAGACTATAATGTTAATGTCTTCCTCTGAATATCTTTTTATTTGACCTTGGTTCTCCAGTGTGTTCTAGCTTCCTGTATTTCTCTCCTGTGAGGTCATTATTACTTACTGGAAATGTATTACTTAGGAAAATGTATCATTCTAGTCATTTATTCTGCCGAGTGCATTTGTCTTGCCTGTTGCTGTACATAGCATAGCCTGAAGCTTAAATCAGTCTACTCCTCCCCCACACCTCTTTTAAATACTTTAATGGAAGCGAGGTATGGTAGTATACCCCTTTATTTCCAGCACTTGGGAAGCAGAGATAGGCACATCTTTGAATTTAAGGCCAGCCTGGTGTACATAGAAAATTCCAGGAAGCTGGAGCTATATAGACCCAGTCACAACAATCAGACAAATCCCAAAACAAAGTAAAATAAAAATAATCTAGTGGAAGATTAAGCCTCTACTCTTAAAATGTTTCTGTGTTCATACATAATTTTGTCCATAGATTTTCATGTATTTAACACAAGCTTTTTTGGATATCTATGACCGTGTGTGTGTGTATACATACACACACGCGCGCGCGCGCACACACACATACACACACACTAAAATATAATTTGTGATAGATATATACATATATCACAAATTATATTTTAGTGTGTGTGTGTGTATACATACACACACGCGCGCGCGCGCACACACACATACACACACACTAAAATATAATTTGTGATAGATATATACATATATCACAAATTATATTTTAGTTTTCCTTACTCTGATGTGGCAGTCACCACCTTTCAATAGTTCTTTATGGATAGCAGCGTCATTCATTCAGTTCTTCTCGTAGCCATCGAGGCTGATTGGACTTTTCCCTTCCTTGTCTTCTGTGATGTGTGCTGTATGTATTTCTCAAATTTAATATTGTTTATAAAATGGATGTTTTCTACTTTGAGTGGCACTGTTTTATGTGATTGTGCTTTGAAGATCAGAAGACATTCAGTAAAAATATCTTTATTTTTATTGTTTTATTTTTTTCTGATCTGAGTCAAGATGAAACCTAGGTCCTTCCGCCCCTCGCCTTTCTCACTCCTTCCTTTATTTCTAGTTTACCAGGATTAACATTCAGGAATTTTGTCTTGGTGGGGTCGTTCTTCTCTTCTGATTAAACTGATCTCTTTTTGTCCCTTTTGCTGTGAAGGTGTGATGCATCAAGTAAAACATTTAGCAGAATCAGAGACTTTGTTGACAAGCCCTCCAAAGGCATGTACAAATGGGTCAGGATCCCTGGGGTCCACAACACCAGCCAGCAGTGGGACAGCCACGGCTGCAACCAATGCCTCAGCTGATCTGGGGTCACCCAGCTTGCAGCATAGCAGAGATGATTCTCTGGACCTGAGCCCTCAAGGGTGAGTTTTATTGTGAATCTTAATGTACTTCACTTTACCTGTGTTGATACCCAAGACTCCTGTTGAGAACAAAATACCTGAGAATGCATGCCTGTAATCCCAGCACTTGGGGAGGCAGAGGCAGGCCGGTCTCTGTGAGTTCCAGCGAGCAGGACATCCAAGCCTACACAGAGAAACCCTGTTTTGAAAAAACAAAAACACAACAGAAACAACAAACAAACCTGAGAGTGCAGAGTGAGTGTGTGCGTGTGTGTGTGTGTGTGTTGTGATGGGGACAGAATCTATAGCTTCAGCAAATACTGACAATCACCTCTACCTCTGAATTATTTTCTCAGCTCATTTGTTCTCTGAAATGGAAAGAAAATAACTTTAAGAAAGCTATCTTACTTTGCCTGGCTTTATTAAGTACATTAGGTGCATGCATATCATTCACGTTGGTACCCAGGGGAATTGAGGTGCAAATACTTAGGTTTGTTTACATGTGTCATTGATACAGTGCAGTGTCTTAGCATTTGCTTCTGATTCCATATTTTTGCAATTACTTTGTACTATTGCATATGTCTCTGTGATATCAAGGAATTGATACAGTGAAAAATAAGAATTAGAAAATACAAGCAAGGCAGCCAAACATGAATTCCCATTTAGCTTTAATTACCAAACACTTGGCTGTTTCTTAAAGGTAAGTGGTAGTTTTTAAAGTCATTTGTGCCTGTTCTGCTGTACTATTTACTATGTTGAGAAACTCTTGATTTTTTATTTATTTATTTATTTTTTTAGTTGTTGCGTTAGAAGATCACACATTTAAGTGGTTTTATGGTAGAAACTGGAATGTTGTACATAATAAGCCACATTCATTTCTAAAATTAGTTGGTACCCAGGGTAATATTCCATGTTTTTCCTTTGTTGTAAAGTACATCATATTTTTTTTACTTTTAGTTTTTATTATATGTACATGGGTGTTTTTGCCTGTATGTATGGTTCTGCATCATGTTTATTTGTCCCTTGGAGGCCAAAAGAGGGCATCCCACTCTCTGGAACTGGAGTTATAGATTATTGTGAACTTCTATGTAGGTGCTGGGAATCGAATTCATGTGACTGCTAGGAATCAAAGCTAGTGCTCTTTAACTATTGAGTTCACTTTCCAGTTTCTGTAAAATACATACTGGTAAAACATTCTCACTGGGGTTCTAAAATTAAATCTTGTATACCTTAAAGAACCATTGTCCTGTACAACTGGCTAAATTTAGCTGGGGTCAGGTGCTTGAAGAAGAGTCACTTTTGCTGCCAATCTACTTTAGTGTAAATCAAAAGTCTGGTTTGGACTGATTGCTAGTTCAGGAAAGTTAGTCAGTTTGTCTTTCATTATGTTCCTTGGCCAAGTTTCTAAAGATTATGTTTTGAACCTGTTTACTTTCTTTCTCTCTCTCTCTCTCTCTCTTCCTTCCTTCCTTCCTTCCTTCCTTCTTTCCTTCCTTCCTCCCTCCCTCCTTCCCTCCCTCCTTTCTTATTTTATAGGTTGGTCTTTGTGTGTTTTTTTTTTTTTTTAATTACACTTTATTCACTTTGTATCCCCCTCCCTCCTTCCCTCCCAATCCCACCCTCCCTTCCCCTTTTTTACCCATGCCCCTCCCCAAGTCCACTGATAGGGGAGGTCCTCTTCTTCCTTCTGATCTTAGTCTATCAGATCACATCAGGAGTGGCTGCATTGTCATCTTCTGTGGCCTGGTAAGGCTGCTCCCCCCTCAGGGGGAAGTGATCAACGAGCAGGCCAATCAGATTATGTCAGAGGCAGTCCCTCTTCCCATTACTAGGTAACCCACTTGGACACTGAACTGTCATGGGCTACATCTGTGCAGGGGTTCTAGGTTATCTCCATGAATAGTCCTTGGTTGGAGTATGAGTCTCCGGGAAGTTCCCTGTGTTCAAATTTTCTGGTTCTGTTGCTCTCCTTGTGTGATCTTAGTCTTTTTAATACATTGAATTTTATAAAATTGGACATGTAGAAAATTAATCAAGCCTTTAGTTTGTATTTTTGCAGTTAGTAATTCTCCATACTTTCTCTAGACTCTCCGCAGTCTCCATATTAATTCAGTCAGTGAAAATTGTTGGGACATTTTTATTTATAAATTACTGTCTCTCCTGTCTTAGCTGGGTTCCTCAGTGGTAATTGCTAACCTTATCTATTTTTCTATGTAACAGTCGATTAAGTGATGTTCTCAAGAGAAAACGCCTGCCAAAACGAGGGCCAAGAAGGCCAAAGTATTCACCTCCAAGAGATGATGACAAAGTAGACAATCAAGGTGAGTCCTTTGATGAAACATAATGGGGGGATGGAAGAGGTGTTGAACTTAAGTTTCCTCATGATTTGGTGTTCTGAATTGTTTCAATTCTTTAAGATTGAAATTTTTGTTGATTTTTCTTTGGTTTTATTGAAATGATTTGAATGTAATTCTTTTGTCTTTATAGCAAAAAGCCCCACCACAACTCAGTCACCTAAATCTTCATTCCTGGCAAGCTTGAATCCAAAAACATGGGGAAGGTTAAGCGCACAGTCCAACAGCAACAACATTGAGCCAGCACGAACTGCAGGAGTTAGTGGTCTTGCCAGGGCAGCCTCAAAAGACACCATATCTAATAATAGGTAAAGTGTGTGCTGGGATTCAGGATGGGATATCCTTCATCTGAAAGGTCTCAACATGATTGAATTGACATACTAATCAAATGCTAGTCATACGTGGCCTTGGTTCACTTTGCTCTCAAATCAAAGTTAAGTTAGACTCCTATTGAGGATATATGTATAGCTCAGGTCTTGCCTGTGGGCTCAAACCCTGTCTCTTATATACAGAAACCATAGCAATAATACAACCATTTGACAACTCTGCTTATTTTGGTCTGTGTGGAACCTTTTCCTGAATTGTGTTTGCATTTTCTGCTTGTACATTTTAATGAAATTCTCCTGCCTAGTTAGTAGAATTTAAAGATTTGTAGCTGAGAAATCCAAAAGTACATCAGTATATGGGTCATATGGAGATGCTTTTCTTGAGAAGGCACTAGATATAAAGTAACTATGTAGACTACTTCCTCTATAAATAGGATATTTTGCCAGTGGCATTTTTTTTTTAAAGATAACTTAATTTGATTGAGTTGGCTACTGAATCTCTGAATTAGTTAAGAACAATAATTAAGCAACTGTATTTTTAAAGTTTATAATTTAAACAGCTTGGTCACATGCTTCTGGTATATCTTAGTTTTATATCATCTCTTTAGTGAAACACAGTGATGGATGGTGTTAGATAATCTGTCCTTTAGTCAAATCTTATGTAAATTTGTATTTGGGTATGAACACTTAGGAAATTAGAACATATTGTTACTGTTCATGTGATGATCTGAAATTATTCCAAGTAACTAAGCAATTTATATATATAAATATATATTTATATATATTTATTATAATATATATATATATATATATATATATTAGCTTGTTTTCAAAATGAACCTGAATTTTCTTTATATGAATGTATTAATAATCTAATAATCTTAGGCCAGTAAGCGTTTTAAGTGTAGCTGTTTTGATAAAGTTGAAATACTATTTCTTTTGTAAATTTATGTGTGTATCTAAGTACTTGTGGAGACCAGAAAATAACTTGTGGAAGTTGGTTCTCTGGGGATTGAACTCAAGCACATGCTGAAATTTCTTAAAATCTTTTTCAGTGTAGATTTTTTTTACTTATACAGAGGCATTATATCTCCTCTTTCCTTTTTATAGAGAAAAAATTAAAGGTTGGATTAAGGAGCAGGCACACAAATTTGTTGAGCGTTACTTTAGTTCTGAGAATTTGGATGGAAGTAACCCTGCCTTGAATGTCCTTCAGAGACTTTGTGCTGCAACTGAACAACTCAACCTCCAGGTACTGTGTCCAGTGTGTCTTCTTTGCTTGTAGATCATTGGGGGGGGTGATTGTAGAAACATCGCTTTCTGCAATTAAATTTTTTTTTCCTCCTTGTCCCTTGACTACCATGGTTCACCGTCTGCTGCACATAATGGAAATCTTGCCAGTGCTTTCTGTTCTTTGTGTTCCCTATTTCTTGACAAACAACACAGTTTCAGAAATGGCCCTTCAGAATTTCTTTCTTAAATCCTCATAACCGCCTCTATCTTCAGACTCGGTATTTACTTGGAAAGGCTTGAGGCTTTATTGTAGCCCTCACCATTTCATCTGATTCATCTAATCTGTATGATAGTTTATTAACTTCATCATAGCACATCATGTTTCACATTTTAATCTGTCTTCCTAAAAGAGCCTTAATCTAATAAGTGTCAGTTGTACAGTCATAGCCTGCCTGCCTTTATGACATGTTCATACGTGTATATTTTGTACTTTGATTGCCTCTCTTGTTCCCTCTCCCTTCTGATTACCAAGTAGTCACTGTTCTACTTCTTTATTTTTGTTCTTAAATCTTAAATATTTCTTCATAGTAGAGGTTGCATGTCATATTTTGCTTAACATAGTGATCCATCCACTTAATGATACAGTTTCTTCTTTGTTAGTCCCTTCATTTTGAGTTTTTATCATACTTTATTACCATTAAGTAAGAAACTGAACTAGTTAGGTGGAAAAGTTTTGTGTTATGAACACTTTTTTTTTTTTTTTTTTATCATGAAATACTTCTGTGATGTTTCCTGAGCCTTGTAGGGGTGATCATAGATATTCTGCTTTGGTCTGAATGGTAAAAAAATGAAACTTTTCTTACTTAGCACTTGCCAGTTATGACTGTGGATAATTGCCTATTACAAACAGAACTTCTCTGACCAAGACTGGGAACAAAACATAAATGGGCATAAACAATTAGTTAGAAGATATTTTGACACTGACCATTTAAAAAAACAGTGGTAGTAGATTCCTTGCCTTTGATCTCCATCAGCTTTTAACCAGGTTTTTAGTACCAAGAATGAATTCCCTTTTGTGGGTTGGGCTTCAGATCTAAGCACAGAACTAGCCCAGTAACTGTTGAGCCATTATTGTACCAGTGGCAGGTTAGTATTGTAGCTCATAGGGTTCATAGCTGTCCAGTGGTTGGTCTGTCCGTCTGTCTGTCTCTCTCTCCCTCTCTTACTTTCAAAGGTATTGAGAATATATTTTTATTTCTTTTTGGGAAATGTGAATTGTATTGTTTAAGTCAGTATAGACTCTTTTTCTCTACTCTTTCAGGTGGATGGTGGAGCTGAGTGCCTTGTAGAAATCCGTAGCATAGTCTCAGAGTCAGATGTTTCATCATTTGAAATCCAACATAGTGGATTTGTGAAACAACTATTGCTGTATTTGACATCTAAAAGTGAAAAGGATGCTGTCAGCAGAGAGATCCGATTAAAGCGATTCCTTCATGTCTTTTTTTCTTCTCCTGTAAGTTAATAATGGTCACGTGTACTAGTAGAGCTGGTGCTACCAAGTGTGAGCATTTATGTCCCATAAAAGTGTATTGTGTGTTGTCTATTTAGCTCAGTTCCTTTGAACATTCATTTATTGAGCAAGTCTTACTGTGTAGATGAGCAGGGCTCGAATTGACAAGAGGCGTGCTTGTCCCTGAGACGCATATAGGTGCTGGGATTAAAGGTACGAGTCACCATGCCTGGCTTCAAATTTTTTTTTTTTTTAATGTGTCATAAAATAGTGAACGAAGCCAGGCATAAAGTCCATGATTGAGTGCCCAGCATTTGGAGGGCAAGGCAGGAAGGTCAGATACACAGTAAGTTCTAGACCAGCATAGTTAGCATGAGATACTGCCTGAAGATATAAAACAGAAATACCCTTCTCCCAACCCTAGTGACCTGAAGCCCATGTCAACTTTGTCAGGTATTTTTCTCCCCTTGCTAAGATAAGCCATTTAGAGTAGTCTCGCCTATTAGTATTTATTTATATTAGTTGAGGTTATGATAGGCAGATATAGTTCTGCTATGCTAAATAACCATCTCTATAATGTAGATTACAAGGGAAGGGCCTATAGGCTGACTCCCCCTTTTTCCATTTGCCGCTAGTGTGTGAGAACCAGAGTTAACTTGCTACTATAGTTAATGTGAGTACTATAGATTAGACCTTCTGTTACAGGTGTTTTAGAGAAGGCATAACTAAGGAAGGTGTTTGTTGTTTGCGTTATTGGTGTAATGAGTTTAATTACTGCTTATTAGCAAAACTGCCTCTTCATGGGTATTTTTTGAACACTGTTTATATCAGTTTAACTTGTGTGAGTTACTAAAGGTAGAAATGGTGTTTATTGAAGACTGGGTTGGATATGTTGATGTTTTTTTTTTTTTTTTAATTTTTTATTTTCAAGTGCACGTGGGTGCAAATGTGGAATATACAGTGTTTTATGCTTTGCTTAAGACTATGTATATCCCCACTGTTTGTTACCTGATAATTAGATGTCCACAATCTGTTACCTGATACTTTTCCATGTATTAATATCATCATTCAGGCAGTTCAGTACACTTTGTCATACACAAAGAATTTTCTTTTGCCATAAAATATGAATAGTCTTAGTAAAAGGCAACAGGCAGACCATAAATAGCCTCATGGCTATATGGATTAGCTTTTTACCCACTGGCAACTACTATTCCTCAGAGCCATTTGGAGTCATGAATTTTGAAACAGAATTGTGGTCTGTACAAATTGTATCTTTCTTGAAATAACTTACTTGGGGCCAGGGTTTGGAAAGATAGCTCAGTGGTTAAGAGCATTGGCTCCTTTTTCAGAAGACCCTGGGTTCAGTTTCCAGTACCCATTTGTAGCTTAAAATGGTTGTAGCTCCATGTAGCTCCAGGTCCAGGGATCCAACATCCTCACATAACATAACGTGCAGGAAAAACACCAAGCAATGCACAGAAAAATAAAAGAATAAGATAATAAAAGAAATAATTGACTTGGAAGTCTGTCAGAAATCATAAGAAAATTAATAGATAAATTTCCATTTTTTTAAACTGCTTATTAACGTGTTTTTGATATGGAACATTGACTTTTCAAAAGGCCGTGTTTAATTTTTTTTTTTTTTTAAATAGCTTCCTGGAGAAGAGCCCGTTGGAAGAGTAGAACCAGTGGGCCATGCGCCTTTGTTAGCACTAGTTCACAAGATGAACAACTGCCTCAGCCAAATGGAACAATTCCCAGTTAAAGTGCATGATTTCCCTAGTGGAAATGGGGCTGGAGGCAGGTAAGGACCATTGCCTGCGTATGTTCCCTTGCCACCAGAATTGTTGAAGGAAGACATGGTGAAAGGTCTAGTAAGTAGTAAGGCCTTGGTCTTGTTGAGGAACATTGTTTTGTAATGACTGAAGCAATTTGTTTCAATGAATCAAATACATTTTATCTTTAAGATCATGCCATTTATCTATTTGTCTACCTACCTACCTACCTACCTACCTACCTACCTACCTACCTACCTACCTACCTAATCTTTTGTCTATTTTTGAGTTTTTGAAACATGGTTTCTCTGTGTAGCCCTGACTGCCCTGGAACTCTGTAGACCAGGTTGTCCTGGAACTCAAAGAGATCAGCCTGCCTCTGCCTCTCAAGTGCTGGAATTAAAGGCGGGTGACACCATGCTCAGCTTATAACATGTATTTTAACAACTAATATTTTTAAAGTAGATAAATCAGTGACTGAGTTTTGACAACATTCAAAACAGTTTTTGTTTTTCTAAATTATAAAGTTTTAATATGTAATGCTGTAATAATTTTTTATATGGAAATAAAACATTCTCTGACTCTTACTGTGATAAGTGGTTATAACTATTTCAATGGGCTTTAGCATGTATTCACGTTTAAATTTGTCTTTTAATAAAAATTTTTGCTGTTGGGTTTAAGGTCTTGTAAGGCTATAGACAGATGAAATTAATGTGTTAGGGAATTCTGTTGAAACATTTTTTAATTGGAAATCTAATAGAATAAGTTACTTTAACTTTAAAAATCCACATTCTTACGTTTTAAAATCATTTTAAAAAATTTGAATCAAAACTGTCTATATTCATATAGATAAAGCTATCCATCATACCGTACCTGAAGTTTTCTATTTAGAATTTTTATGTAATGAGCTATGTTATACTATCTTGGAACAGTTTTATTAGACATCACAAAACATGATGGCATATCTGGAATCCCATTCAAAACCCACGGTGTGAGAGTCATATGTGCTTATACTTTAGATTTCACTTCCAAATAAAAACTATGTAATAATACAAAAATAGAAACTAACCTTCAGTTTACTTTGCTATGTCCTTTTAAATGAATAGTACAAGGAGGAGGCAAAATATCATCTTGGAATTCAGAACTTGCCTGGGCTATTTGAGACTCAAAACAAATGAAAAGAAAAAAGCCTTGAGGCTTTCCACTTTTGTCCAAGTTTATATGGATTATACTTGCTTATTAATATTTGCATGCTTCATGGAATTGTATAAATAACCACATTTTAAGTTTGACTATATCTGGCCCGCCTGTCCGTCCGTCCGTCCATCTATCTATCTATCTATCTATCTATCTATCTATCTATCTATCTATC